TATATATATATATATATACTGAATGATACATTAGAATACTCGGATACGATATAAAATTACGAATCTTGAATAATATAATTATATAACATAATTACATAAATAATATTTTAAATGGTGTCAATGTGCATATCGTAGTATTTGTGAAAATAGATTTTGACGTTAGTTTAGTGAAAAGATGAAAAATTAGCAAAGGTCAAACACGATCTGTTCATCTGACTTATCTCAAGAACATAACGAGTGCTACTGCCACAAGGGCAATTAGAGATCTAGATTTTACAGATAAGTATGGACATATAGTAAGATCTTATTGTAATTAAGATCGCCTAGAATTCAAGGAAAGGAAAATAAGGTAGGGTGCTCTTTACATCTGCATAATATTCAGCACAATGGGGCACAGTGAAGAGCTACACTCGCATCCTCTTGACATCATTCTCTGGTACGTTTGCATCACTTCCATTGCCCTTAATTGGGTTTGTCGAATGCTTTGCAATCTGCAAAGAAAACCCAGAATCATTAACCGACCAAATCATTAGTATTTAATGAATTCTTTTCGAGATATTCCAAGACTTACATTCTCATCAGGAACAATGGCGTATCTTTCTGATGGTGAAACCCAGATTTTGCCTGTGAAATATAAGAAGGCAGCATGAGAGTCTGTAGCCATAGGTTACCTGTAGAATCATGTTTCATAAAGCATAGTTACCTGATGAAGGTAAAAATTTAGAGGATTCTATCTGCTTGCAGCCTAATCCATCCTTGCTTATCACCTCTATCATCTTGGGAATATTCCTTAGGAAGTTAGCAAACACATTTAAAATGTCAGATTTCTTGTTAGTTGTGGTTCATGGTTGATAGACATAAAACAAGCTATTTGTAATCTTCCCTCCCTCTTTGAAAACAATGAGCCAGAAAAAGGAAGATGCAACCTAACAGTCACATGAAATCGCACAGAAACCAAACATACGTATGTAGGCATTCTTATAACAGTTTGTATAGAAGTGAACAAAGACAAGCTGTCATCATTAAGGACACCAGTCAGTAAAAAGGTTTGACCATGACAATATATTGTTCAAATCCAGATTCAAATCTTCCAGATATTTCACTTTTTTCTTTTAATTGTATTCACTGTTACCACAACAGTATCTTCTACGATCTACATTTATATTCACATACGCTCAAACCAAGATTTTTAATTTTGTACCATACCAATATATCGAGGTTTGCTCGGTACAGTATGGTATAGCGTACCAAGCAGTATGTCTTGGTGTACCGCTCGATATAAATATTTTTATATACATATGTACGTAAAAATATGTTTATATACGTGTGTTTACTCATAAACATATGTATTTTTATATACATATATTGAGTAATAATTACTATAAAAATTATTTACAAAAATATCCCCTTTCCATCTCGAGAGACGGAAAGGGGGTGATGGCGGAGCGAGCGAGGATGCAACTCGTCACTTTTATCCCCAGCTTGAACTCATCCCCCGCGAGGCACTCCGTAATGCTCTCGCAATAGCCAGATCCGGTGAGGATTTGGCCCAGGGAGAGCTCATCTCCCGCTCCCCCGCTACTGCCGCCCTCAGCGACTGTGAGGAAGAAGACCAAGATGACGGTGAGAACGAGAAGAGAAAGCAACAGTCCTACTTAGGCCAAGATCCCTTGCTTCTTTGTCGACCGCGACTTCCTTGACCACAGTGGCCACGATCCCTCCGCCCCCTACTGCGTTTCGAAATTTAAAGCCTTGGCCAAACCATGTCAGATGATAATACTTGGCATTCCTACAAGGTTTTTGTATATTAGGTCCTTATTGTACAAAATAACATATTGTACAGAAAATGTGGTGACATAACTGAAGGGAAAAAGTCCTATATTGTTAAAAGATTGATATTGTTAAGACTTAAGAGAATTATATTCATATCAACAGATTAAATTTGCCAAGTTTCAAGCATACCAGTCAACGATATCACCATGGCCAAGCTGTCCGCTTGTGCCCCTGCCCCAAGAGAAAACATTTCCTCTTTCTGTAAGAGCAAGGGTGTGTCTCCATCCACAGGAAATTTGCTTCACCTTCTGTGAATTGATTTGAGAGATATATCAGAAGATATAGAGATCAATGCTGCATAATTTCTATCAAAATATAACCACAACTGATGATTGTTATTGTGATGAATGAGTCAGCATCTGTAAAGCCTTTTCTGCTGCAGTCTTGTTATGCAAGGAAAAAGGTGATAGCATTCCCAGGAGTTCAATGATCCATCAACTATCAAAGTTTAGCCGTTTAAGAAAATATAAAGTAGTGATGTACCTGTTCCTCTGGAAAATTAACTTGTACTGGAGAACAGTGATCATCATTATCGCCAATACCAACTTGACCAAACTAGATAAAAGACATTATGTAAGCACCACAGCAAGAACAGGAAAAATTATTCCACTACAGCATGAACCATAATAATTGGAATGTTGTAATAAAACCATTCAACATCTAAGCTGTTCAAGAACTTCTAGATCAAAGATAAACCTCAATTTATAACTGCATCTCTTTTACACATTAGGTTATACGGGAATTTCACATATTGCATTTTTAGAACCAACAAGAAGCAAAACACATGTAGTTAACCATCAATCTCATGAATTCCTGAATAGCTCTGTCATTTTTACTTAGCATGATTTAGAATGCTGCTAATACATGATTGTTGCTAAAAAAGTTCAAAATACAATGAGATAGATATGAATCCAATGGATACAAGATGGGGTAGTTGTTACTTTACTAGCAAATTATTATATGATAGTGTAGGCATCATGCTGCCTCGATATTGATGAGTTATATAAGCTGCCTCTGCATCCAGTCAGCATTGTGTCTTTTAACTCTGACATTCATTTGTATCCATAATGGAAGAATTTTATATCCCTTTTAGTATTTTCCCCAAAAAACAAAGATTTCAAATTTTAAACTCTCTGGCTTACAGCATCCAACCTGGTTCATATGAAACCTGGAAGATCACAATGACTAGGGTGCACCTATTCAATGCTGTTATCTCCACATAAGTGCCTGGCAATATGGAAACTGTAGAATAGAAATAAACTTGATAGGAATCTGTCTAATATCAACTAAGGCTTTGTCCAATATCAGCTGAGATGAGATTAACTTTGTAGATTAGATTACAGACGACTTCCTTACCCTTTCAAGATGGATTAATAGGCATTTACATAGGCTTGAAATAACAAACCTTGTTCTGGCTATGGTAGTTCACTAAAAAAGTAACAAAATGAAGAATGACATATGAAGTAGCATACGATTATGGAATTTAATGCGCTCGAGATTGAGAATAAAGAAGCAAACCTTGTTCCACCCCCAACCATATAGTCTTCCATCAGATGTGAGTGCCATAGTATGTCTCCAGCCACCTGAAATCTGAAGAAAAAGAAAAAGACAAATTTGTAAATGCAAGCTAATAAAATTGACTACTATGCAAATAGAGAAATGAACTATTAAACTAAGCTAAAGTATGTTACCCAACACTAATAAATGGAATCATCATTGTTGGAGTATAAAGCTCCAGAAGATCCAAAATTCCTGGTTGCTATGTTAAATGGACTACTTATTGCACTATAAAAAAAGCAGAATAATGCAACATAGTTCAACCTTAAAATCATCAGCAATCAGGAAAAGACTGCCTATTAATGATACTAGGCAACTCCACATTACCCTGACTAGATGGCAATAGTTCCAGTCTATCAGTTTTGATTGAGAACACAATGAAGATAATCAGCTGACCAAAAGAAGCTTGAATAAAACTGGCCAGAGGATATTGACAAGGCTTTCAACAAAATGTAGGACCTTATGTTTTACGGAAGAAGAATAAGATCTATGCCATACTATCAATGTTGTAGAACTTTCAGTATAAAACCTTTCAGCACAAACATAGCATTAAGTGAAGAAGGTAATTCAGACATAAATGGTAAGAATGATGAAATAAATGAAACAATAACTGAGAGGCAAAAAGAAAAAGATATTCACTTCTGCAAAGGGATACATATATGATGTTAGGAAAAATGCTTATTAGTACCTGAGATATGCAACTATCTTTTAGGACTTCCAACCAATGCGGACTGAGGTGATCCTCAAAGTCTCCATGTCCTAATTGACCATATTTGCTCCAACCATATGTGTACAAATTCCCAGAGGATGAGACAGTAATAGTATGACGCCATCCACATGCAACGAGGACCATCTTTTCTCCCTGCATATAGTCATTGAAGTACAAGAGAATATCAAATACCTCTAAAGATCACATGAATATAAAGGTTAATTGACAGTCTCTCTGAAAGTAGATTCAATTTCCCAGATAAGAAGTACAATACCGAGAACCTGTGACAATGGATCACCATAAGTATTAAATTAATAAGATTATATAAGATTTTCACGATAAGAGAATTTCACGATCCTTACGAATTATATGAGTTAAAGGCTTACTATGATCCTTATGAAGACCATAAGAGAATTTCATGACTAAAAAGGGAAATGGCTTTTGGTATTTCATTGGAATCTGAATCAGAAAATCAGTGTCTTTGA